ATCCATTTTAATTCAAACCCCCCCCCCCCAAAAAAAACCCAAACACCACCCAGAAAACCCCCACACCCACAAAAACACTCTCCTCCCCACACAGTAATACAGGGTTAGACTTCTCAAATAAAGCATTCTTTCTAAACCACATCCCCAGACTTCAGTTTTTTTAAATCCTTGCTTTTACAGTTATCCATTAAAGCAGTCAAGTGTGTTATTACAACTCACACTGACTGGAAAGATATAACAGGTACCAAACCCCTTGCTAAAAAGCAGAGACATCACCACAAATGCTCAAACCTAAAAACATGGTTCACGCTGAAACATAATGGCTGGAAATTACTCTGACATCTCTATCTAGAAAGACTTCAGTCTCTGGTTAGTTACTTAAGAATATAACACTTACCTGTCACCTTGATTATTTCTATTAGCTAGTTTTCGAGCCTGCCGATCCATCAAACTTGTCCTAGAGCGCGTTTTTTTCCAAGAATAGTAATATTTTACAAGGCTTGCAATAGTCTTGTCTGGAAGCTAGAAGAATACCTTAACATGTTAATACTTCTTGAAATTAAAATTCCACCCAGGATTATAATTCTGCTCTATTTACAACCACCTTTACCCAAATATCTTAAATGCATGGATAAGATGGAAAGAAGAGAAGCATTTCGTATACATTTTTAAAAAAGGAGAGTGGGGGGAAAGGCTTTTTTGATTAGACTGAAAAAGCTATAGGTCCAAGAGATGTGATGAAATGTACTGCTTGTGATTAAAATATTACTTTACCATTTGCTGGATCCTGTGAAAGCTCTTTCCATGGAAACTAAATGCTTGCTCAAATAGGACCTTATCTTCAACTGTCCATTCGTCAGGGAAGGGAGTGAAGTTAGGGAGATCCGCAAGGGACTTCTCAATATTGTGTTTATGCCAGAACAACATGCCGAGAGCCTTTGAAAAGAAATTTAGTCAACTTTCTAAAATGTTGAGACAAGTTAAATAAAAAACCCACTATTTATTTATTTAAAATAAAATTTGACTATCAGAACCCCTTCTCAAAATATATTTACAATTTTATTGGCTATGTACTACGGGTTACAAAATTCTCTTTGGAGACAATATAAGAGTGGGCTCATCTGTACTTTATTCAAGCTATGAAAGCTAGACAATTTAAGGTTGGCATGGCAGCAGTAATTCTGAAGTAGCATGAACTAGGCTCATAGGCTCAAATCTGACCTGCTTGCTTTCTTTACAAGCATGTATCACCTACACAGTTCCTTATAGGTCTTCAGGCCTTTATTAGCAGCCCACTCAAAAAAGAAAATAAAAATACTTTTCAGCAGCCAGAGGATCATCCAAAATGCAAGTCTGAAAGTTCAAAGTGAGAGTGGTCTTTCTACAACTCTCCAATCCACAAATAACAGCACGGCCACTTCCATGTCATGTGCACCTAATAAAAATTGAAATTTAAACATATTTTCTTACATAATTTCATTTCTCGATATTCTTAAAGATTTTTATGCTGATTAGACTTTCTGCCAGAGAATCAATAACAGATTTGATGCCAAGTCTGGCATGGGAATTGGGAAATGTAATCCACTCAGTTTCAACCATACAGCGCAGACATGATCACCAGTTGTTCATCAGCTCTCCAAACCCCTGATTTCACATCTTCTAATAACTAGGACACAGCAAACCTCTTTTCTCGTTAAAATGGCAAGTGACAAGCACCTCTTGCAAAGATAATTTCTATTCCACTGTGAACAGTCCACAAATATTGTGTACCAGAAGTTGTTTTGAAAATCAGTCTTTTTTGTAGACTTATTTTGAGATCCCTCAGTTCCCTCTCTCCCCTAACGAAAGCCAAGCCATAAACAAACATCACCAAACTGGAAGTACTCTGGACAGCATAACATTGGCAGCATCTTTTTCAGACAGAAGTTGACTATCAAGTCTTTGCTATTATGAGCTTCCATCCAAAACCTGACCATACAACTTGTTTTCACTTGTACAGCAAATATTTTTTTTTTTTGCAATAAGTAATCTCACTTTTACATAAATTGGTTAATTTATGAAGAAAACTGCAATAGAACTAAGTGCAGACTAGCAAAGTTTTATCCTGTACTTTTTACAGGATGGTGACTAAAGGTTATTAAAAAAAAAAGGTGAACTTTTTTGTTACTCTAAAACCTAGAATTTGAGTCAGTTTTCCTGCCTCTGAAAAAACACTCACTTAAAGTTGGTTTGCCCTTTTTTTTTTTTAAATATGCAAGAAACCTTTCCAGTGCTGTCCCTATGGCAATTAGTGGTTTAAAATTGTACCATATTTTAATTTCAATATTAAACATTAAATTTGTAAGCTGCTTTCCTAAGAAATTCTTTAGCTAAATATACACACACAATTGCATGACATGCCCAGTGTATCAAGAAACATACCAAACCTTTCAAAAGTGCACATTACAAGCTGAGCATGTCATGAAAACAAAGAGCTCAATCTTTTGCAGAGAATCCAGACCACAACTGTATGCAGGTCCATTTAACTGCAGTGTTTGCTGCCGTGCCTGAAGAGAAACAGCGTTAATTAATGGCAACCAAGGGAAAAAAAATGAGTTGTGTTGTACTTTTATATAAAAAAATCCTTTAAATGAGCACTCTCATTTCATAGCACTTACCTGTTCCACATTGTATCCATGTTTTTCCTTTGCTATTGCTATATATTCATCCACTGCAACAAAGCAATGTCAGAATTATTCTTTAGTACTTTTAGTTCTGCTATAAGGTGACACAGAATTAGCCATCTAACATGGGAAAACAGTCTTCCCATGCCTTAATACACTGTATAGGCCCAGGTCCCCCAAAACGTTAAATATATTCATAGCTTTATTAATAATAAACCCACTGTCTTTAATCCAACATTTAATTTTATAAATTTTTGCACAAGCTAATTCTCAGTGAAAAAGATGCTTGCTTTCACATTTTTACTACAACAAAGCCACAGAGGCTCATCATTTATTTATTTAAATCAGAGACTAGCTGTTATTGAAAGGCTATGCCTTCTTGGAACCCGCTCCTAAGAACACAGACACACTGGGGGGGGGTGGTGGGGTGGTGCAGACACCTAAGTTAGTATTTAATTGAACTACTTCTGCTGTTCGTATTCCCAAACATGTTAAAAATTAATGTAAAGAGATCCTAGATCAATGATTATGCATATCCTCAATATTAATACAGTTTTCACTGACCAACATTAATTTTAACCATGGCATGAAGTCAGTTTTCAATAGAGAATATGAAAATTCAACAATTAGGTCATCAAATTCACCAATAACATATTTTTTAAATCATATTTGGCCATACTAGAGCCAGCTTTGACTTGAACACTTGCCATCATTTTGCAATTAAGTCCTGCTAGTTTTGATCTTCAACGGGTACTTTTTTTTTATTTTTAAAGAAACAAACTCTTCCCATTCACCTTCTACAGTTCACAATTATGTGGCAACTAAATGTAGTTGAAAGGAAGCATAACTGACAAAAGGAAATAATTATATCCTTATTATTCAAATGAACCAGAGATGTCCTTGCCATGAACTGTTGCAGCAAAGAGTTAACTGTACTTTAAAGGAATGAAGAAAGTAAGTGTTTAATAAGCATAGTTGTAGAGCATTTTATTTCTAACTGTTCTGCAGTAGTAGAAGCTGTATTTCCTCAAATGTACAGGCACACAAACCTCTCAATAGGTAATAGGTAGAAACTGTCCAGAGGACCAGGTTCTCATGACTGCATCCTCAAAGTTTACTCCCCTATATTACATATGGGGAAGTTCTAGCATAGGAGGCAGGTTTAAACTAGATTAAACAGATAATTGATCACATTTAGTCAGATGACTCCTGTATTTCAGGTCACTTTTGAAGGGAGAAAATGCTCAGTTTTTCCTGAGCATTCCCCTTGAACTGGGCCTCAACACATCTTTTCTGAATTTATCCACTGCAACTCCTTCTCCTAGAAATTTAGAGCAGCAAGCTCCTCATGTTTAGATGTTTTATTCTTTTATTAATAACTGAAAGTTTCACAGACACTGATGATGATACAACACAGCGTGATTTGAAACAAAGACTTAAAATAAGAGAAGGTGATCTTTCCTTTTGCTGGAGTTCTTGAAATAATAATAATAAAAAAGAGCAGCTTTGTGTTTAATTTACTAATTTGCAGTTTCACTGCGTGTAAAATGAAGAGTGAACAGGCGCACCAGAGACAATTATTTAGTTATACTTAAGCATCCAAATTCCTAAGCAGGGAAGGACTTACACTTGGCATCTGGAATATTATGATATGGAGACCATACAAGCATCCCTCCATTATCTTTATCAGTATATTTTGTGGCACCTGTAAGAAAACAAGTAAGTCTCAGTATTTATAAATATGATCTAGAGAACAACTATTCACAGGACAGTAAGTACAAGTCAACCATATTAAGAAGTCCAGCCTAACTACTAAGGGGACGGGGGGGGGACGGATGAACGACAGGACACAGGGGAAATCATTAATTCCACATTATTTCCTTAAGACATCGAATGGCTGAATTTGACACTACTCTCATGAGGTTCAGTCATAACTGGATATTAGACAGGATCCTGGTTACCACAGTTGGAGCATTAAAGTGCATTGCTAAAGCTGGCACGGATACAAAATATAGAGGTACTTGTGTTGGAGCAGTCCTCCAGAAGTTATGACTGTCTATTAGTACTTTAACATTTATCACTATCATAGGAGTATCGGGATCTACTGTGTTAAGTTAGGCTTCCCTAAAAGAAAAAACCCAATGACAGGGGGCAGAATACAGTCACCATCCCTGATCCTTTCAACAAGGAACTAGACTAATAAGTATGCCAGAAGCAATTATGTTCATCTCTCTCTCGGTTTGGTTTTCATAGCCATGTAATTTTGATATTCATAGCCAACCAACTTGTGTAGCTATAGAAAGCAGTTAGGTGTAAAAGTAATCTTCTTTTCTTTGGCTGTTTTTTTTGGGGGGTTGGGGGTTTTTTTGGTTGGTTTGTTTGTGCTTCACCTCCACCTCAATGTAGCAAGGGAAGCAGTCCAAGTTACCTAACCTATCAGGAGGACAGAGCAATTTTTGCAATACTGATGCAACTTCGTACAAAGCACTAAATCATAGACTCTTTGATTTTTAAAAACATGCTGTAAAAGAAAAGGAAATTCTCCAATACTGGAAAAGCATTAACTAATAGTTACTTTTCATGAATATTTTACAAATGTATGCTACTACATAAAGCCTCTTCCAATCTATTTGTTTACAACAGTTCATCTTGCTAAGACATTGCTCAACAATTGGAGCATTTACACTTGTGTCAGTATGAATTCCTTGAGGAATCACCCTCAGAGGAACTCTCCTTGCATCCTTCTTGGAGAAGGACAGATTTTTTTTTATTCAGTGAAACAAATAAACTTTTCACTCCATTTTAAGCTTCCGCACTTTATATTTAGGTTCTACATCTTGTTGAAGGAAACAAAACAAAACAAATCAATGCTTTGGAAAAGAGAACAACTTAGTGCTTTCTAATTATGTACTGTGTTTTGTTGCTCTTTCCTCTTTAGATTGGCAGTGTTGTGTGTTTGCTATCATCTTTGCAATCTTTAAATCCATTATGACTGTGAACTTGAAAACCAGTTAATTAGAAAAACTAAAAGAACTCATGTGTCTTCCAAAATGAGATGTGTAAGAGAGATAACCTAAATGCACCATAAACTCTGTAACAAGTTAAAAATGTACATACATTCATAAAGTACCAGTTTCAAGGCATAAGCAGTACTAAACTCTGAAAGAATTTTGGTATATAAGAACAAATTCCTTAATATAACATTCTACTTCAAAACAAAAAAGCATGCCATTTTTAGTCATTAGGAATGCAATATTTCATGAAGAGTAATGCAAACATGTTACAGGCGCAACATTTCTCTTCCCACTCAGCTTTTATCACAAGTAAATGAGCGCTACCCTGTACTCCACTCTAAGAGATGAGGAGAAAACAGGACCATTAGAAAACGCAACCTGAAATTCCAATGTGAGCAAGCAATGTCTAAACTTGACGTGAGTATACCCTCAGTTTTTCCTTCAAAAAAAAAAAAAAACCAGACACCTGCAGACAAGTGGATATCATCGATATTATCACCTATTGAATATTCAAGTACTAAAGTGAAAAAACTTAAGTTTCAGAATCCTATCATTTGCACCCACAGAAGATCATGCATGTGGTGACCCTCCCCTGCTGAGGTGCCACCTGCACGTGACTAACAAGCGGCTCCCACCAGAACACCCCTTTATGAAGCAGTGCTTTTTCTCCAG